GGCAGATATTAGCGGTGGTAACAAAACAAGTACAGGAATTTCAGTGTTGAAATTCCACTGTAGTAGCCAAGAGCACACCCATTCCCCTGGAGTGGCAGTCAGTCCTCCAGTGTGAAAGGGTGAGGGGATGAGTCAGAGGACACGGGCAAGAGGGACTTGCCTTCTGCTCTAACACCCACATGAGTTCTCTACAGAAACCCCTTGAGTCCCAGGGTGCAAGCTGATTTTTCCAAATCACACCTAAGTGGGAGAAACCCAGAAAGCCTCCTGCTTGGAAAACCCACCACTTCAGTGGGTTTCACCCCTTTTTTATTTGTAGTCCTCCCCAGTTTTGGGGGTCTGTGGCCTCCTGCACAATAAGAAATCCTGCGGTGATAGCAGCCTTGTTTTGCACAGGTGCTCCAGCGTTAGGCAAAGTCTGGCCAAAGGAGGTTCAAGGAGACAACATGAAAAATGTACCTCTGAGGAAGAGGCATAGAAAAACTTCTGTGGTATTATGCACATATATTTTTTGCACACAGTGAGGGAGGTGGCGATAAGTTGGTGAAGTTATTAATAAAATCTGCATTCTAGCCACAACAAAGATATTTTGCAACTTAAAATTTGGTCATTTATAGGTATTTGTGTTTGCTGTGACACAGATACTGGTCTGATAATAGGAGTTCACAGTGATTTGGAAGAAAAATTATAAACCCACCTGATCTAAAATATTGAGGATGTGATAATTTTTTTTAAATAATCACTCTGCAACCTAATAATTTCTTTAAGACCTTGATAAATCAAATTTACATAAGCAAGGCAAATGTGATGGTCTAAGAGTCTTTTTAATGAGGCAAATGTGCTCATTTATGTTAAAATCATAACAAAGAGAGGGAAAGAAACAGAAACAGAATACTTTACCTTTGCCTGTGGAAAATTTTTCACAGCAAACTGTAGAACACAGGACTTTGAACTTCCTGGGGTAGCCCTTGCCTTCCAGAGGCTTTCTGATATTTCCTTTACTTTATTGAAGGAAAGAGCTTAAATTTAATGAAAGGTGCAGAGTGTGTCTCTTATTATTAGAATCTCTTTGTTTACCAATGTCAATAATTAGAAAAATGCAACGGCAAAGTAACAAAAATCTTCATTCCTTTGTCTTAAGTTCAGACACTTTGGTAAAAATAAGTGGTAAGTAAACATATATGGTTTAATTATCTTTTTTAAAAAAACAGTATTTTAAATGAGCTGTTTTTGTTTGTGTCATGTGACATTGTGAACAGACCAGCCAATAATTGTTTTGGTTTGTTTTGTTTACTTTAAGGATTGCACTTTGGAATGTTGAGGTGCAGGATTTTCATTCAGTAGCTGAGTGTATGCCCATTATCTGACTGAGCAGCATAAAATTTCTGTGGTTCACTTGTTCCTTCATAGAAGATTTATCTGACAAATGCTTTCCTAAAGCAGTGTTCCATCATTAGTGCCACTCTCTGAGATGGCATTTCATCAGGAAGTGTCATTATCAGAAGAAGGAATAAGACCCTGTCCTTCCACTGAAACATGAGCAAAACAGTGGATGAAAGGACCTGGAAGAAAATATACTTCAGCACAATAGAACATTGCTATAGAGGCATCAGCCAGTGCCTTGGTATATTTAATACTGTATTAAGCACAGTGACAGCTATATTCAGTTCTGGTTTTGACAGAGTAAGCTGGACCTCTGTTGCATGGAAGTCTGAGACCAAGCCTAATATTCTGTATTTGATATTTTTGGAATTCCTGTTTGTGTGCTATGGAGGAAAGTGCAGACAATTTTCCAGTAAGTTATTATTGCTCATCAGTTTTTATTCCTGATGAATGAGGATGCTTCAGACCATAAATCTTTCGCTGGTCCAGGCTAACTGTTGCCTCTCCTGGGCTTCCAGCCAGGATAATTTTGTAGGGAGGAAATACACAACTTGATGGGAAAGAAGTAAATAGTCCTCTGTTAGCAGCTATTTGAAATAGCAGCTGTTTAGAGCTATTCAGCAATGGGGGATATTAGCACTATTACTGGGCATACTGTAGATGGTGTACCATATGCACGTATTGTCACACACTGTGTCCTATTTCTCTAATGTGAAACTTTAATTTCATGGCAAATGGGATGGTGATATTTATAGTGGTCACTGCGAAGCACTTAAACAGATTCTGGTAGCCTGTCACTGTGCAGCATCAATATGGAGCATGGATAAGGAGGTGAATGTCTAGCCTTTCCTATTTTGGACTCACCAGGCCCACAGTGCTGTTCCTTATTCCTAGTACCAATAATGTGTAATGAATGTGATGCTAATATAGAGAAAACAGAGGCATGATGGGATTAGAGGGCAAGATGAGGGTCTGTGCACGACCACATGCTCAATTGCCCATGAGAGAAGTAACTGAACGTGTTGAAAACAGGTCCCATGTGGACACTGAGCGTTGTTAGGGCGCCAGTGAAAAAAACGTTGCAATTTATCCTTTCTGCACCCTCGTTCTTATTTATGTCAACAAAGCTAAAATAAAAGCAATTGTTCATTTTCCTCTTTCCTCCCAGCCCACCCTCCTCTGTTGCCACTTTGTCCCCAGGTCACACTAAGGTGAGCTGTGGGATGTAGTGAGCTCTGACCCCAGCAACTCTAACAGTCCTTAGATCTAGAAACTCCCTTATTGAGAAAACATTGATCTCTCATTTCCAAGGAATTGTAAGGGGGCTTTTTCTTCAGTTTTGAGTAGATGTGTGATGAGATGTTAAAATGTCAACACTTTGATTTATGAACAGTATCTTAAGTTATTTTTAATTTAAAAAAAAATAGAAGTAATTTTTCTGTCCCTCTAGGGCTTATACATTTAAGTTGTCTTTACTAGTGCAGAATGTAAGAAGAGAGCAATAACATATTTTACAAGTGTTAAAAAGAGAAAGGAAAATAAAAGTGGAATTTTTCTCTAAAATGTATTGCAAAAAAAATGTTTATCATATTACGTTTTATTTGCTCTCTTTCGGGATGAATTGTATTCATTTCCACTAGTATTCAGTGAAACCTTACCAAACAATACAATATGGTGAGAATGTATAAGCAATAAGAATATAAAAACAAGTTAAGTAGATCATCCTTTATGATTTTCTGAGCTAATTTAATTTTTACACCTACATTAACAGTGGTTGAAGTCACCCTAAATTTGTTTCTTTGGCATCTTAAACTTGAAGAAATAGCCTTTTTTTTTTCTTTGTATGAATGCATCTTTAAAAATCACCTTTTGTTCTTGGCCTTAGTCTCCTGAATTCTCCTTTGCTTTGTGCAATAGCACATATTTTATTAAAACAATGGCATTTTCAGTAAGCGAAGCATTTGCCCTAGCATCTGAGAAAAATATACACATTTAATAATGACATGAACAGTTTTGGGCTGCATAAGGTAGTGCAAAGCCTGCCTTTTCAGATCAGAAATTATTTTTAGTCTGTGGAAACTTGGTCCATGTCCTTTTAGACCAGCGTGCAGCTGCCAGGCGAACCTGCCTCTTGCAGGAGTGCTGCTCGCTCTTCGCCTGCTCGTCACCAGAGCGTTGGTCCTGGCTGCTCACCTGCCTGCATGAGAGCCAGCCAAGCCCAAATGCTTTCCTGACCTGTCTTTGCAACCATCTGGAAAAGGGCAGATGCCATTCTTCAAAAGTACTTTGGTAGATGGGTCCAGGGGCATTAAAAGCTCCCAGCAGGAGCAAAGACCCTGCCACATGATTGGTAAAGCACCTGTCCTTGAAGCAAATGCTACTGTCTTCTGTCTCAGTCAGCGAGCATATGGTCTGTATGATAAGCAGAGAGAAACACAGTGGCTTGAGGGGGGGTGATGCCATGGCCATTGTTAAGCTGCTCTCAAAGGGAGAGAAGCACCTGGGGCAGTGGAGGTCCTCTCCTCTCTGCTTCTAGCCCTGCACAAAGGGAGATGTCTTGCCATCTCCTGGTAGTGTCTTACATTGGCAAGTATTTGACAAAAGGGAGGGGGGGTGAGGAAGGCAAAAAGCAAAAGCAAATGTGGTATGAGGAAGGAGAGATTGTCAGTCCTATGTCTTAAATGCTGAGGAAAAAACTGGTCCTTCCCACACAGCCCTCACTGCTGTCTTGGAGCATAAGGTGGAGAAGGAAATTCAGTCTCCAGTCCTGCTGTCACCCTGACTTTCCTGCAGTACCTGTGGATATTTCTGCTAATGGTGGCAGTGATGACGGTTGTTAACTGGATGGTGTTTTGACACTTCCAAATCCTTTCACACAGGTCACCATCTGCTTGGTAGTGAACAGCAATTGAAAGTCTCTCTGTAGCCCATTAACAAATTATTTTGCTGTCCAGATCTCTGGACAACAAAAGCTGTGTTTAAAAGCTCAAGTATGTTTTGGTTTTTTGGTTTGTTGGGTTGGTTTGGTTGGGTTTTTTTGTCTGGTCTTTTCTGCTTCACAGCCCACTTTTTGTTTCTTTTTTCACGGTAATGAATTCACTGTAAGTACAAGTGACAGCTCGCAGAAATGGTAGATGGCTGGAGTCATATACAATATGGCCTTTATAGGAGAGGTGAGATTCCTTCCTGAGAAGCCCCTGTGAAGTTAGCTTTAGAATATTTACCAAGTACCTGTCTCACAGGCAACAAACAGCAAGGTTTGGTCCTGTCTGATTATAGTGAGTCTTCAAGTGTAAATACATTGATCTCAGCGAAGTTACTAACTGATACTGGTGCAACAAAATCACCACTTGCCTTAAATGTTCTGGAGAGATGACAACCAACATACTGAGCAGATCTGTTTCTCAGGATCTCTCAGGAAGAGGGAGGTAACCAATCTGTCTGTGCTGCTTTGGGCCATCTGAGCTTCATTGGAGAATTTAGATTTCCAAATAAGTTGCATTCAGTTTTTATTCATACTGGCTTAGAATATGTTTAATGTCTTCTTCTTTTTTTTTTTTTTTCTTTTTCCCTGCAGTAATAGTAAAAATCTGTTTTTCTTCCCTAACTATGTGCAGGCTGGCATGGCTTTGACTTATGATCCAACAGCTGCTATTCAGAACGGGTAAGGAATGCATGTTTTCTTATGCCTTTTAAAAAATAATTTTGAATGCCATCTTCTGTTTTCTCTTTCTGTGGTGAAACTTACTCAGAAGCAAATTCACTCAGTCGTATTTTGTCTGAGGCATGTAATGGTATATTGCAAAGTTCTTCTTTCAGTTTCCCTTTTGTTTTTATGTTTTTATGCCCCCTTCTTTGCAGTATCCTTTTGAATAGGAAGTTGTTTTTCCTAATAGTTTCCATCCCTATTTGGCAAATGCTAGTGTCTGGGTTTTTTTTAATCTCTCTCTGTCATAAAGTGGGAACCAGTAAAATTTCCTTTTACTGACTTTGCTTTTGTTAAAATAGTCTTTGAAGATTCCAGTGTATTTTGGATAATGGATACTTCATCTGGGGTTCTCTCTGCAGGCTGGCTGGCTTCCATGGCATTGCCAGAATAGAAATAGCAAACAGGGAGAAGTCCTTAAATTAGTGTTAAGCAGATCGGATTTAGGGGTAAAATTACGAGGAACACTCTTCTTCATTTCTCAACTTCCATTTGCCAATGTGAAGAGTTGTAACTTTTTTCCAAATTTAGCAGAGAAGTTGTATCATTGTATATAGTTTACTCCATTATTACATTTCCATTTATATCATGAGTTAAAAAGCAAAGCCTTGAAATATTGAAATTTCAGACAGGGTAGCAGCCATTTGAAGGACGTTTGGCCCTGAACTTTTTGACAATAACTCTTTGATTAGAGAGATGTTGGATATGACGATCAAATTCCATGCATACTCCTGTCTCTTCTCCAGCTGAGTGGGAAAATGTATTTGTTAGAATCATAGTGTCATTAAGGTTGGAAAAGGCCTCTGAGATCATCAAGTCCAACCATTAACCCAACACTACCATGAGCACCAAACTATGTCCCAGAGTACCACATCTACACGTTTACGGACACCTCCAGGGATGGTTGGGGCATTGTTAGTTTAAGCAATTATAAAAAAAAAAAAAAAATCCAGTAGTTGTTGGTTTGATTGTTTTTTAAATCACTGATAATAGCATATTTTGCTTAATTGCCAAAGCAGCAGCTTTGTAGGACTCATGATATTCCCATGTATGTGGAGGAAGTGGCCAAATCTGAGCAACTCAGAAAAAAGGAACGTTTTTGCATAAGTTGTGATTTCAGTGTCCTCTGGTTCCTTTAGCATGTCCTGACCTCCCAAATAAGTCTTTGTTTTCTAATGTCATACTTTTCAGCTGATAATATATTATAGGCTATAAATAAAACCATCACCAGTGTTTCATCTGGAAAACAGGCTTTTATTTCAAATTAATTCTTGCATGTCAATTGAATGAATGTTTTGGAAACTGTAATTTTACTTCAAGGATATTTTTTTTTTAAATTATGACAGCTATCTCAGAATCAGAAATTATTTATATCAGAGTAGCCATATTGTTCAGGTGTTCAGGCTGCTGAGATGGTTTTGTCACTCAGTTGTTTGAACATGCTGTCACTGATTATTGGGGAAGGAAATAGTCCCCAATGGAAAATTTCAGCTCTGCAGTTTTTTAAATGTTCTTTATTTCTAAAACATGAACTAAACTACAGCACTGGATATATCTCTTAAAAGTGACAATTAATTGCTGCTTTGACATATCTGTTCTTTCTAAAGTGTCAAAATATTTTCAGTTTCTTTAGAACAAAACCATCTTATTCAAAATACTCTTATGGTGAGATCTTGATTGTATGCAGTATAATGAGGAGAAGCTCTTGCTATGCAGAAAAAATAGATTTCTCCACCAAAAATTACACAACTGTTGTTTCATCCTTTGGCTGCATCTTTAAAATGTTGTCACCTAAGGATCACCAGGACCCTTTGGTTACACAGTTTCTTTTTAGCTCCCCAGGCATGTAGAGACTTAATAGTCTCTACATACCCTGTAGTGATGAATCTTTACTTTTTTTCAGAAGCCTCTTTACTTGCAAGTACAATAAAAATCTTGTTCATGGGTTTTATTTTAGCTAAGTCTGAGAGCACCTCGATGCTTGGCTTGTAAATGTGCTCAAATGTGTTTTGTTGCTCACTGACAAATATATCATAGCACGAGTGTGGCCATGGTGAAAGACAGTTAAAGGCTGTTAAGCACTATGAAGTAAATAAACAGGTTAACTTAAGCATCAGTGAAGGGAGAGTAGGCAGACACGTTGCTTTTCCTCACAGTAGGACAGGTGGGAAGTGAGCACAGAGCTGCTCCTTGCAGTCCCCTTGTGTTGATGGTGTGCCCATACCCACCCTGTGGGTAAAATACTGCATAATGCTTTGGCAGTAAGGTGGACCAAGTCGTTAAGGTTTTTGGGTAACATGGAGCAATGTTACCCAAAAGCCTGTATAACAAAGACCACTTCTTTATAGTAGGCCTGTTAAATGCAGCGGTCAGGTCGAGTGGGTGTTGACCCTGGACATAGCTCAGGACTTGTTGATGTGCTGTAACCATCCCACGTGAAGCTTACTGAACTGAGGCTGGAGATGGGAAAGGTAGATATCCAAGCCAAGGTGGAGATTCAAGTGAGGTATGATTTACCAGTAAAACTTAAAAAGAAAGATAAGCTACACATGCTGGGATTGATTATAGTCCTTTATGGGGTCGATAGATGCATTTTGACACATCTAAGTTACAAAGTTCATGCAGTATTAAATGGAGGATGGAAGCCTATTAGAGACATGTCTCTGCAGGTGTCATGCAGTGGTGCTTAAAATTCACAGTTCCTTAAGAGGCATGGATTTGATTAGATTTTGGGTGGTGCATAACCAAACCTTAGGGAAGAATCTGGGTTCTTGTATGTTGTCCAGTTGAGAAGGTGGCTTCTCATTGCTCATGGTGTAGTACCATCACTTTTTTGTTACTGCATAACTGCATATTTGCCTTGAAAATCTATAGCAGCAGTAATACAAAAAAGCGAGAGAGGCTTTCACTAAAAATAGCTAAGGGTTTTTTTCCCCATAAAGGAACAGATAATTTTCTTCTGAGTCTATTACATTGTAAAGCTTGATTCTCCATTTCATTATGTTGTTTTTATGCCTATGTAACTCTTTTTAAGCATCCAGTGGAGTTACATCAGCATAAAACTGGTATAATGGAGTGGCGAATCTGGCCTGTAGTGTAACACAGCATTGCAGTGTGAGTTACTGAAGATGTGGTAACCAGCAGTTCAGTAGATAAGCTCTTCTCCCCTGCCAGTCTCTCTGTGCCTTTTTTGGTTTCTAATCAGCCTTTTCTGAATTGCATTTACAAAGGTACTCAGGCTTTATTTGGGGGAGTACTATGCCTGTTGTAATATGCTATTGATTTTTCAATTTTGATATTAATATTGTTTTAGTGGTTTAATGCACTCATACAAAGAACAAAATAGAGGTCTTGTACTTGCACTGTAAGAATGCTCATTTAAAATGTTCCCGAGGCTTGAGTCCTCCTGGCCATTTGACTAAGATTGCGACGTACTGTATCAGTTTAATATCTGATATCTGGGGGACTATACTGTGCATTTGCTGGCCAATGGGCTCAATATTCAGATAGGTCTTTTTCATCTCAAACATCTGACTGTGTGGCTTATTGCAACAGAAAATTGCTGCCTTGGTAATGCTTGGTAATGCTCTTACATTATGTGAGCCCCAGGATACTATTTATGAATCGAACTTTTTCAGTACTGCCCGCAGGCACAAGGCATGAGCAAATGGTGTTTATTGCAGTGCAAATAGGATCTTGCTCTTGTGCAGATTCTGTGTGGAAGCTTGTGCATTTCCCCATAGGACGGGAACCATATGGGTTTTTTCCCTAGTTTTTGGCAGGGAAATAGCGACCAGACGCTACAGATAATACTGTCCCCAAATGCAGAGGGAGGGTTGATGTAGGAGGGGAGTATGTGCTTTGTCTGTTAAGCAACAGAAATTGTTCTTAAAGCATTACTTGTGCATGCCTGGTGATATACTTGGAGGGTGGCTCCTTTTAACTTCTCTTGAAAGCATTTCCTTTTGAGCCCTTTATAAGCCCTTCTTCAGGAACATCCAGGAACATCTTTTTGCCTCCTAGTGATGAGCATTCCCTATGGAATCTGGGCATGCTGAAGAGGTCTATTTTTAATACAAGGGCAATGTTCATTTTGCCTTGCCCCTGCCACCTGCATTTCTACACTTTAGCTTCTAACATTGCAATTTCAGCTGAGGAACAGGGACACTGGCATGTGCCTGCAAAAAAAAAAAAAAAAGCATAGGCCAATATAAGAATGCAAACTGCATTGCAGAAAATGCAGCTGAGCCTTTTGGAGAGCTCTCCTTAGAGACCACAAGTCAACTACCACAAAGCCTACAGCTCTCCAAGTACAATACCAGATACTGTATATTTTAATGGCATGAAACTTGGGGGCATAATTGAATAGATCTAAAATGAGTCAAAGCTGGTATCTCTTTCCACTTCTCTTTCTGGTGTACATATTCTGATGACTGAGAATCCTTTATTCCCTTGGATTTAGAATATGCATCTTCTGCCTCATTTCACCTCTTCCTGAGCCTAAAGTAAAAGAAAAAGGGAAGGCCTAAGACTGAATATGGCAAGGTCGGCAGCTGCAGATCTTGTTGGGATGCTGTGGGGTTTATACCAGAACAAGTCACTCTTGTCTTTTTGGTCCACCTGTCTTTTATAAGGTCCCCAGCATGTCACTTATGCCATTTACTTATGAGGAAATTAGCCTATTTATATGCAAAGGGAATGTGGAGGAGGTGTCTCTGTGTCCCATGGGTGAGCATGCTGAGCCCTCTTTGTGAGCGGGTCCTGCCAGGGCAGTGAATAGCGCTTCACACATGGCAGAGATAGCCACATCCCTTTTTTGGGCACAGGTGACACTGTGGCAGAACGACAAGCCTTTGTCTTGGGGTGTAAGGGATTCCTGATTGCAAAATATTTGACCTACAGCCTGTCACAGTGACTCAGATTGTTAACATTGATTTATTACTATTAAAATTGAAATATATGAACTGGATTTTCTCAGATTGTCATTTATTGCGTCAGATTTCCTTCCTTTCTCTTCTTTGATGCTCTGGTGTATGCATTTTCACAATATATCTGACTGTCCTGATAGTATGTTTTATTTGATGCTTATTTGAGAGCATTCCAAACTGTGACAGATAAATGGTATTGGCAGGGGTGTTGGAAGGGTTGTATTTTTCACATTAGCAGAGTGTATATTCTACAAGCTTATGTACTATTCAGATAACTGCATCTCTAAGCTGAAACTGAAATGGTTATCTGTCTGTCAAGTTCTTGGCTCAGTACATGTTTACTATAAATTTGGTAGTTTTTGCTGGGATTTATTGGAGAGTTTATTCCAAAGAGTCAGCACTACTTCCAGATGGAAAGTTGTTTTTCCCCTGCACTTGTCTTTGTCCGAGCAGTTCGTATGCAGTGTGAGTATAAGAACAGCATCAATGCCAGGCTAATGGACAGGATGAGAACAGAAGGAACAAAAATGTGTTGTTTTCCCGAAAGGGTTTTTATACTGTCCTTCAGTTCAAGAGGTTGATATGTATTTCTATACATTATACATTATACCCATAGAGTTTTTTTTCAGTCTGCCATTGGCTGTTTCATTTGCTGCATACAGCATTTCTTAGTTCATCCACTTAGCAACAGCAGAGCCAAAGTGATTTCTAGTTAACCTTGGTTTGAGAGAAGACCCCAGTAACAGGGCTTAGGTAACATATGCATCATGCTAATGCCATAGATGAACCCAACAAGTGCTGTAAAAATCCTTCCTCCCACAATGTTTTATGTGCTTAATGTTTGATACAAGCAGTGGGATACAAATGCCTCTAAGTTCTCATAATAGGCTATATTTAAAATTGGGCAAAGGCACAGTTTTAAAATAGTCTGTGTGCAGGCATTGTAAGGGCAGATGAATGTTCCTAAAATAGCAATATATTTCTATTAAACAAACAAACAAAAAAAAAATCCTCAGACGCCACCTGCCGCTTTTGGTGTTTTAAAATCTTATTTGGAGTAGAGAGACCAAATGATCGCTTCTCTGTCTCCTTCTTCCCTCTTAACTTTAAAAGTTTCCACCCAGCCTTCAAAGGTGACAGCCTGTTTTTCCAAGGCTATTGCTTGGATGAAGTCGGTGGTTATTTGAGCCTGCACCCAGAATGAATGCATCCAGTCTGAACTAGACTGATTAAGACTAAGTCTGGGATACCAGGGCGGTCAGGACATAGAGCACTGATTTAAACACCAGTAATTTTTATTGTTTTTTCATGGCTTTCATGGAAAGCTACTGTTGAATGCCTCAGTGTGGGGAGAAAAGACAACATGAAAAGGCAGGGAGTGTAATCCACTTCAGTGTTACAGAGAGAGCATATGCGCAAAATCTTCTGCTACTCATAAGATTGGTGCATGCTAGATGAGAAGGATCTGCATGGGGTTTAAACTGGGCAAGAGAACACTGCACAACAATGTTTCTCTCTCTGAGTCCAAAATGTTAGCATTTTGACAGCTCTAAGACCACAAATGTTCTCTTTTTGAAGCAATTTTATTTTTCTGGCATTCAGTTAAATTTGAAGAAAAGGCATATGCAAAAATCTTTACAAAAACGCAAAATCTTTACAAGCACATATATATTAAGTACTTACACAATCGTCCAGTAGTAATATTTTCCAAGTAATAATTTTATCAATATTCCTTAACCCAAAGGGAAGGATAAGGAATGTAGCATTTATTACCATCACACAAGAGACAGTGCAACTTTTGTTCATAGCATGCAACAATGGAATTAAAACCAACTAAATATGAGATTATCGGTGCTACCTGGGGCATTTATAATCATAATTCTTGATACATTTTGCCAGAAGGTCTGTTTTTTTTTCACCCTGCCTGGATGAATATGAAAATTTCAGCCAGAGTTTTTATAGCCATCCATTAATAAAATAATTCAGGCATGTATATGGAATTGTTATTCTCAGCACTGAAGCATTAAGATCTGAAAAGAAAACAGTACTGAATGTAAAAATAAAATCAGTAATATTGTGTTTGATATCGCGTAAGAAATTTCCTTTCACTAGCTAGCACTCTGGAAAATCAGCTGTCTTTGCATTTCAGATAATTACTTCTTGTATCATGAAGTTCTGTATTTGTGCTAGTTGAAGTGAAAGAAATATGCTTTGTGTAAATATTCCTCCTCCTTTCTATTTTCAAGATCTGTTCAGTGGAGCCATCACATCTTCTTTATTGTGGTTTTGGAAATAGATGGACATAATTACCTGTGTAGACTCTTTCTGTCTTTGCCCGGGAGGCACTGAATTAGTTAGTCAGAGCCTAGCAGTCGAAAGGTTCAAAAAAATCTCGCTTTTGTTCTTTGTTTGCAGATTTTATTCCTCACCGTACAGTATTCCAACAAACCGCATGATTCCACAGACATCAATCACACCATTCATTGCTGCTTCCCCTGTCTCCACATATCAGGTACGTCAGATGCGCGCTTGTCTACCGTGTTTCCCAGTTAATTATGTTTTGGATGTGGATGAAGGCAGAGTGTGTACCACAGAAATTGTGTGAGTGCTTGTGCTCTTGAGTCATACTTTAAACAAAAGGCTTTCTAGTAGTATTCAGGTATCATTTGGTGTAGGTTTTAAGTGTTTCCTGCTTTAAACTGGCAATGAAAGCCACCGTAACCTTTCCTTTCAGTCGGTTTCTCCAGCAAACAGCGTTTTGCTTCATTTCCCGTTGACAACAGCAGAAGTTTATCATTCTTACTGAAAGGTTTTTTAACTGCCTTTTTTTTTATAATTTGTTGACTGCATCATATTTTGACCTTTTGACCTCAGCTGTATTTGCTCCAGTAACAACATTCTTTAGAAGCACTCGTTTTTATCTATGAATCCCTCACAAAGCAAGGTACTTGAGGGTAACTGTCCTCATGTCCTTCTTTAGTCTTCCACACATTTTGTTGTTCAGAATTTTTCTTTTCAGCATAGCCCTCACGGATCTCCACTGGGAAATTATTGCCATGCTCTGGCTTTCTGAGATGGAAGCCGAACCCAGGTTGTGTAGTTTTATTATTAGCCGTTCTCTGGGAACATACCACTTCACTCTGAAGCTGGTCATTGGTTGTACAGTTTCCCATTTCAGTTATTTCTGTCCTACGCCATCAGTGCTCTTCCATACCTGAGATAAACTACCCAAGCCTGCAAAGCTGCATTGTGACTTGTTCTTAATGTTAGGGTTGGTTGTTTTGGTTTTTTTTTTTTTTTTGAGATGGTATGCTGCTGCTTACAGGTAATTCTAGGAGGTTGTGCTTACACTTACTGTGGTTTAAGCTTGATCTTCAAAGATAAATGGTTCTTGTAATTTATTTTTTTTTTGAGTTATTTAATTTTAAATGGCTATGTAACACTTGCCAAACAAATGTTGTCTTGGTGAGATAAATTCAGTAAATTTCAGTTAGTGGAAACACCAAAGAAATGTCAGTGCCAGAGACATACAAATGCAACTCACATGGATTTTTCTCAGCTGCAAAGCTGGCTTAAGAGTCATACCTCCTCCCTCTTATTCAGGCCACTGAACTGAGACCACCCAGCCACATCTTCCTATCACCACTCCACAATTCACAGTTGCTCCCTTATCCCATCCTGACTTGAACCATTGCTTCATTTCATGGTTTCGTGCATTTGCATGATTTGATGCATTTTCACCAAAAACATTTTCTTGTGTACCTGCTGTGTGTTGTGGTGCCCAGACTGATGTGAAAGAAAACTAGGATGTATAGTTCTTTGAGTCGAGTTTGAGTTATCATGGCATGTGAGCCATCCATACTTAGCAGAAGAGTGAGTTACAGCTCAGAGATGCCACCACAAATGCACAAGCACTCTGTGATGCGTTTAATTGTTAGTAAAATTGGTATATCCGTGAATCCATTATGTACCAGCCACAGGGCAGAACAACAAAGAAAGACTTTAGTGATGCATATAGAGTTCTGGTGGGAATGGACCCCACAATGTGTGAGGTGAGTGCTGATCCTGGGAGACTGGGATATGTTAAGCCAGCTTTGCTGTGGAAGCTTTCAATTAGAATAAGCTTCAAAAATTCTGATTTAGATCTGCAACTTTTACTGAAAATGGAATAAATCTATTCTAGGTTCTCTGAAAACGTTATGCCTTTGAAAGTTCATACAGATACTTTTGAAAATAAACTTTGAACGTTTTATGTCTCCTGCACTGTCAGTGGGATGACGCATTCACGATCATATCAATGGATGAAAGCAAAAATTACAAATAAAAAAAATAGGACAACATGGAATATCGAAGAGTGCTTTATGAGATAAAACTGTGTGGATCACAGAAGTGGTACAATTGCTCAGACTTTTGACTTTGGTAGAAAACATTATCAAATGAAATTTGAAAGCTTTTCCCTTTAGAAGGTATAAATTAATCTTACGTTGAGTTATATGACTTAAGTCTTGCCAAAATTAACTCCGTCATTGTAATAGAAATCTTTGAGTTCCATTTTAAACTTTTCTGTGCTAATTAAAAGTATTCGATACGCAGGTCCAGAGTACTTCCTGGATGCCTCATCCGCCATATGTTATGCAACCAACAGTAAGTGGATACTTGCTTATATCCAGCTAAAAGTGCTTACACTGTAGCCTCGCTCTGCTTGTCAGCCACATTAAAGCCCTAGGTCATGTAAAAGCAGCCAGCTGCACCCTTTGACAAAAGCCTTCTGCTGTAAAGATTCTTCTTTTTTAAGGAGCACTGTTTGATTTATTGAAAAGGGAAGAATGGATGATACGTTATCTAATTGCATTGATTATAAGAGAATAACAAGCTCTGAAGTGTTGCTTCTGAAGTTTTGCTTCAGGGACTGCAAGATAACTGCATTCCTGCATGCTTTGAATTACCCCTGCCTTATATGCTTATCCATCAAAAAAGGCCTTCCTAGCTGTATATACTTTAAGGGATCCTCAGTACCTCAGTAATGCATTTCAAGTACTGGAAAAGTGTAAAGCACAGCTTTACAGAGTCTTGGCCAAATCTGTATCTGCTTTATGATTTGACCAATCAACTTGGTTTTTTTTCCCTGAATAAATTGTTTCAGCAATTGTAACTACTGCTTACCAACATTCATTAGAAGCAATGCAGGTGATTTTCTGTTTACCTCACGGAAGAGTTCTGATGCATTTTGCCTGAATATTAGAGATACAGCAGAAGGAAACAGCATACTGAATCCCACTATGTACAGTGCTTTAGTTTCATTTCCTACCTTTGATCAGTTTCTCAGGCTTAACAGTGTCATTAATCAAAATCCACATGTATGCACCACGTAAGTATCAATACATGAAGAGGGTAAAATTAAAATGAAGATGTATCATTTAAGATTGTTTGTTACCCACATGTTTAAATGTTGGGTGAGAGTTAGCTATACAACAATGTGAATATAATTACACTGCATACCCATTCGGCAGCATAGGGCTGTCATCCCAATTTGAAGCCCCCTTGCATATCCCTCGACTCTTTTGAGACAAGTTCTTCAGTTTTTTCTCACCAGGCAATGACCATATTGTGAGAATGACTGTCTTCTCAAAGAATTGAAAAATTCCAGCTTCCTACCACTGCAGTGCTGCTCCCCTCTCCAGACTCTGGTGGAAGTTTCCACCTCAGTGGATTAAAGCTACTGCTGTATTCCATGTAGAGAGATGAGCAAGCTCACTGTATCGAACAAACTCACAGCTAAAATCAGTCCCACATTCTATTATTTGGATTTAATTGTCGACCACAAGAAATCTTATTAGTTTATATATGGTTAGTATGTTGTGGAAGCCAGAGGACCTCTGATCCTTGAATAAAGGCTTCCTTTCCCTTTTCTTTCTTTTTTTTTTTTTTTAATGTGTGTTTGACTTCTATTTGACGATGTTCAGCAAAGCATTTTTCTGCAGTACTAGAAGAGGTATTTTGGGTGTGGTTATGGCATCTGTTTACCCCTTGGTAGAGGGCTGTGAGGAGAAAAATAACTTTCATGGTGAGTGGCACCCTCAATATGCCAAGTCAAATTTTTGTTCAGTGCCACCCAGAGGGTTGTGTCAATGAGAGGATGTGTGCTTGTAGGTGGAAAAGCAGAGGGACAAGGGATAAGTGGTGTAACATTTCAGTTCCAGTGTCATTGCCATTGTGGGTTACCGCCATGTGTTTTCTGTAGCAATCTCAGTACCTTCACTGATTTTTTTTCCCCGTGTGTTTCCTAGATGTTCTTAAATAAATGGAGATGAGGCATTTAGTACTGAGGAAGAATAAAAGCAAAAAGTCAGGACTACCATTGCCCAGGTTTCATTAAAAGATGACTTCTTTATTAGAAATGTCTGAGAAGTTGTCAGAGAATTCCTACACAGAGGACTTAAGAGGCATTGGAATTAATGGCCTGTTTTGAAAGAAAATAATCTGTGCCCATTGTAAGTTTGCTGTAGTTTCATGCGTAGATCTAGACTCTATTCTAGGCACCTCCATAGCTTAAAAAAAAAAGACTTTTTTTTTTTTAAAAAAAAAAGATTATGATAAATTTGGCAGAATTTAAGACTTGAGTTTTGGTAAACTTGTGAGATGATGAAACTGGGAAGTTTCTAATTTGGTTAGCTTTTTGTTCTTCTTTGAACTTAGTTTACTGTGTTATTATCTAAATTGCCACCACTTCATAATATTTTATTAAATGATTGGCTGTGGCACATGATGTCCCACTGGAGACCAGTGCAGATAAATATTACATTCCCCTGCCCCAGAAAGGAGAACATGTTGCTAAGTGTCTGTTATTCTTTGTGAGTAGTGGTGAACTCATACAGAAAGCACAGTCTGAATTGCTGAGATGCCAGTGTTTAGTTCTTTGTTTTGATTACAAATATCCACTAAATCATGTTACTGGATGATTATCTTTTCATTTCCGACAAAGTCCTACTTGGTATTTATGTATAATTTAACACCGCATAGCGTCCTTCATGACAGAAAAATAGGCAGGACCGTGCTGTAGAGGAGACAATGGAGGTTTTTCATTCAGCATGCTGTGCACAGACAGGACAGTTTTCTCCCAGGCTGGCAAGCTTGCCAACAGGAGGGAAGAGCTGTGCCACACGGCGCTACCACCCTGTGTCTACCTGCCTTTCTCTGCCTGCCTATCTCATCTCCTTTGTCACCTGCCTGCCCATTCATTTGAATGTCATGCTCTTTTTTCAGTGATATCTCCTGCAGTACATTGACCTGCCAGACACATTGCTCATTTATTTCCCTTTATATATTGATTTCAGCCACATTTTCCTGATGGGTGCATTCTGTATCTGTTTACTTAGTGGATTAAAAAAAAAAATGACACTATTATAAAAGATTGTATCTCCAATTCCTTCTGTTGCTTTTTAACTGTAACCAGATAAATCTCTGACCCTAACAAATAACAATAATATATAGATTAACTGGAAAATACTTGCATATATTGCTTTCCATTTACCAAACGTATTTGTCTTCTTAGTTTTGTGATCTCCCTAAAAGCAAATAACAGCTGAACTGAACTGACAGTTTATGGGGAAAAAAAAAAAATCAGAATTTTTTTTTTTCCTAATGGGAGGAAGTCAGATGGGCAGGAAAGGACTCTGCCAATATGTCATAATCTACTCATGATTTTCCCTGTAACTTTTAACCTTGATATCATAGGTTGATGGAAATTAACAACTGAAAATTAAGTTTTAAAAGGCTTTTTATTTGTTGTTTTCAGTATTTTTTGCTAGCCTTATACTAAGAGACATGGAAAATTAATATCCAATACATTGAGGTAGCATTGCTATTTCAGAATGAATAGTATTAGAAATATTCTTCTGCTGGCATAGCAGGGTCATGTGTGAAAACCTTTCATATCTTTGTGCTTACACAACCTTCAGAGTTTTAGAAAACAGGATTCCTGAATCATGTGAACATGCTGAAAAATTTACGTGGAGGTTCGTGTGTGACTTGGACACTTTTGAAAAATGTACCCTTTGTAAATGGAGCCTTCACCACTTTTTCACCATATTGACTGCACTGTGTCCGAGCAAGAATGGCTCAAATTTTCCAGCCTTGTTGCTTTGGCACATGCCATGGTCCCTCTCACCAGCTGTAATAGAAGAGAAGCTCCAGAAAAGTTATGACAGTGGAGGTTTGGATTTATACTGGCGTAACATTTAATGCACTGATGGCAGTCTGGGCTCAGTTTAGTTAACTGTAGCTTTCAAAGTTCGGTGCTCACTCATCCCTACTTGAAACAAGACTTGTATTTCATTACTGCCTCAGGATAAGGATAGATGGATAGAGATGACAAAATCAAAACATAAATGGGATAAGAGTTATTCTGGGGATTTATAACGTTTGCTATATTAGTGTGTTTTTCCTGTGGTCCCCAAAGGCTGTCTGACAGTTCAGGGAAAACTTGGAAAAACATGTTGTTTAAAGTCAATTCACATATAGATAATCTTCGTTTTTATTAACGATGACATTTGTATAAAACCTTTTTGATTCAAAGCTGTATTACAAATAACACATGTATTCTAAAGGCAGATTTTTTTAGTGAACCAACAGAAATGCTCTACTGTAATACTGTATGTGCACACTGCTTTTACACTTACACTCTTTTATGTGCAAGTAGAAATGTGTGGCCATAAGTAATCACTGGGTATGCACAGATAGATGTTCTTATCAGTCTGGAATAGTTTCTGCATAACAGCTGCAGGAGGAATATGCTAGTGGCAGCGTGAAGGGTGCAAGCAGAGCAGCATATGGAAAAATCTACTACTCATAATGATAAAGTGCATTGGGGGGAACTTCTCTTCTGGAAGCTTCTCAACCACTTACAGCCCTTTTAAAAAGATTAATGTCTTAACAAATACCCCTAATATTTTTATTTTTTTTTCTTTCTTCGTCTGGCCCATGGTTGAATGTAATCTGTCTGCCTTTAAAAGCAACACAAAAACGTTTCTTATTTCATAAGCAGCGTAAAACCCCTACTTTGGTGAGAAGCAAGGCTAAGGACTGCAGTTCTTGCCTTTTGATTGTTGTGCATGAATGTAGCATTAAAAGTACAAACTGTCCAACTGAAATATATCAGTTTTCATTTTCTCACTAGCGACTCTGTTATTTTGGATAATACCCAAAATACCACAGCAGTTTCAGTGTTTTTATTCCTATGCTCTCAAACAAAGAAGTTCCTTGTTCTCTGTTCAGTGTCCCTCTCCCGAGACGACTTTCTCTACCTCCTGTTTGTACTCTACCTTTTTAGCAAATAGAGCCAGGAGTCCATCTTGTATTTGCCTGTTTGAGCGTAAGGGACCAAAGTATGTCCTCTGTAGACAGTTGAATCCTGCCTCCAAGATGAAATGTGAGAGTTCGGTTAGCTGGTATAAAAAGTAAACAGGAAATAATCCTTAGAAATTGGAGTCTTGAGCTAGTCTTTTAACTTTTAGCTGTGTATTTTTAAGAGATCCTTTGAACATGAACTTACTTGAACTTTTAAGGCTAAGTAGTTTAGAGGTTGAAATAACTAAAAAAAAATACCATTGCCAAAGTTCTGCTGAACAATTTTAATTCCAGTGTTT